CTCAATGTTTTTCTTCGAGCCACAGGAAGGCCGCTTTCACCATTCTTGGTCTCCCTTCAGCGCGCTGCAGGCGCAACAGCTACACGTATTCTGCTGATTCGGACGCCTATCGCCAATCGACTCTGAAAGCTTTGGAGTCGTGATTGGATCCGAAAGCAGGTCGTGTCTGAGAGGCTGCTCAAGCCTCTAAATGAAAGCAACATCTATTGAGTGCACTATTGTGTTCAATGGTGCCAGCTGTGCGATGTTCCATCTGCACAGTCAAAGTCAAGCGGAATTCGCGGGTGCTGAATCGGCTCTGAAAAAATCCAGGTCCGAATGGCTCAGACAACCGTTCCACCTTTCTCAAATGGAAAACTGCTCGTGAACTCCCTCTGTGGCGACGGTACAACAAAAGCTGGAAGAGAAAACGGCGCGTCACGAGTTGGAGGGCGAGGATGTGCCAGAGGAGAAAAATCAGGTGGAGGGTGAACGTCACGAGAACGACGTTGATGCAGGAAGACCTGCCTGTAGCAAGCATTCAAGGTCAGTTCGTGATGCGCCACGCCTGAATTAACTGCAGTGGAGCCTGTGCAGCCCTGGACTTACCAAGAAATGGTGCCTATTGAGTTGAAGCATTTCAGCCGACAGTGACCCCAAACACTAAGTCATGTACGGTGGATGCGTAGTCTACACAAGTAATGTAGGAAGCCCTAAGTGCAAGCACTGGTTAGAGAACAATTCCCCATCATCCCCCTTGAAGGTCATCTCAGAACGAGGCCCACGTATAAGAAGCCCCGCCTGCGCTAAATATGGTGCTCCTTCCGCTTCCGGCTACCTGCGCACTGCAAATTTAGTTGGAGTAACTCTGTACTTTTCGAACTCAGTCCACGGCTTCTGGCCGAAACTCACTTCGACTTGTTTGAAATCATCTCGTCTGGCAAAAACACGGAGGCCGCGTCCTCGGAGGCAAGGGTCACATTTAGCTTCTCCGCCTGCGCTGTGACTGCTAAGATGAATGATTGCTGAAGCTCTCTCTTCTTCTTGCCGATACCAGGTGAACAAATGACTTTGATTTCGAAGCCATGCGAAAAGCCGCTCAAGCAGCACTTCTTGTACCCACTCTGGAGGACATTCTGGCTTTCGTCGATCCAGCGCTTGGCGAAACTGACGAGCTCGTTGACTTTCTCTGGGTTCGAAGATGGGCTGGCCGTGAAATTCATCAGCAACGGCTTAGTCGGCCGCCGGGACCAGTTCTGGATCACGGAATCCAGCAGTTCGCAGAGTGGCAGGTATGTCTGCTTATAGTCGAAAGTCCTAATCAGCACATAGCTGAGTGTGACGTGCTCAACGAAGCCATCGATGCCAGTATCTGCGCCGCGGCCCATCCGTTTTATGGTCACCAAGTCTCCGACGAAGAAGGGCTTGTGCGTCCAAATCCGCCGACCCCTTGGGGTCACGGCGTGTGAGATGCTTCCCCCTCCCCAAACCCCTCCCCTGGAGCCTGGTCCGCCTGGTTTGGAGGGGGGGTGGGGGGCAAAGATCTCATCAGGTCCCACGAGGCCCCAGAGGGCTCCAAGCAACCCCCACGACGGCCCAAGATGGCCCCAAGATGGCCCCAGAAGCATCCCAGACGGCCCAGGAAGCCTCCAAGAGCATTCCCAACAGGGGCCCCAGCGGCCCAAATCGTCGAGTTCCGATGGGGAAACGTGCATTTTTATCATACACGACTTTTCGGCCTGCACGGCGTTGAAGACGGCCCCAGAGTCCCCCAAGACCGCCCCAAAACGGCCCAAGAGGCTCTCAAGAGGCGCTCGAAACGGCCCAAGAGGGCGCCAAGACGGCCCAAGTGGCTACCAAGACGGCCCAAGAGTGCCCCAAGACGGCCCAAAGAGGGGCCCAAGAGGGGGAGCCTGAACCAACAATCCGAGCCTTCCGCCCCAAAACGGCCCCAGGGGGGCCCAAGAGGCGCCCAGCAGGGCCCACGAGGCCCCCAAGAGGCCCCCAAGAGGCCCCAAGAGACCCCAAGAGGCCCCCGAAGAGGCCCCAAGAGGCCCCCAAGAAACTCAAAAGAAGCCCCATGTACCACTTGAGGCATGCAACTTCTAACCCGCAACCACCAAGGATCTCAGGCCGACAACCAAGGCACGGTGGCAGGATGGGCCGAAGGCCACTATTCCCGCCGCCCCCTGTTGATTCATCACAGGGGTGCCTGGCGTGCTAGACGATTTCGGTTTTGGTTTTGGTTATTTTCCAAAACTACTCCCCCTGGGGCTCCGGCGCGTCCCGCCGGGGTCCCAGGAAAGACCTCAATCCGGAACAAAAATCCTTCATGACGGCTCGAGATGGCGACAAGATAGCCACGTTGGCCCAAGATGGCCTCCAAGATGGTTCAAGATGGCTCCAAGTCCGCCCAAGATGGTCCAAGACTGCCTGCAAGACGGCCCAAGGGAATTCAAGATACATCCAAGTTCGTCCAAGAAGCCTCCAAGGCGGCCCAAGAGGCCGATGCACCCAAGCCGGCCTAAGATAGCGTTAAGTGCGTGCCTGCGTGCGCAAAGCGCGAGGAGGGAGCGGAAAGGGAGGGAGGACGAGGCAAGACGAGGACGAGGGAGAGAGGGACAGTTTGCCCGGGCCGCCGCAGGTCGCCTTCAGGCCCGCAGCGCGGCCCCCAGGCCCCCCTTCGGGGGCAGGGCCGCGCGCGGGAGCGAGGTTGTGGGTGGGTGGGCAACTCGTCTCGAGCCTCGCGGCTGAGAGACCAAAATGGAGCGCCCTTTCCCCCCACTTAACCGACAGTCCTCACTAGGCCAAACTAGTAAGTTAAGTGCGAGCCTGCGTGCCCAAAGCGAGAGGAGGGAGAGGAAAGGGAGGGGGGACGAGGCAAGACGAGGACGAGGGAGAGAGGGACATTTTGCCTGGGCGGCCCGCAGCGCGGCCCCCAGGCCCAGTCCCAGAAAAAGGCCTACGATGCCGACGGTGCCGGCAGAGGGAAGCGTGCCGGCGCGGGTGCCGGCGCAAGAGGAGACGGGGAGGGCGGCGAGCGGGGCTAGCCGGCCCCGCCTCGCGGGCTAGGCCCTGGCCCGCCCTTGCATCGCCCCCCCGCGCTCGTTCTGCAGGCGGTGCGGGATCGGGTCGTCCCCGCAACGCCGATGAAAAGAATGAAGTGCCAGGGTCGAACGTGCCTGCGCACGTGCAGTACGTGGGCGCAAAAGGGAGCCGGCGACGCGCGACAGCGCGTAAGTCAACCATGTCCGTCTGCCTGCGGGAGCTCGAGGCAGCACTGGCCCGCGCTCGGGACGGAAAGTGCCGAGACGCGTGAAACTCGCACGAGCGCTCGGGAAAGAGAGGGCGGGAAGCGAGGCGCGCCCCGGGCTGCTGCGCCACCTGCACAGGAGCTCGGCGTAGGGCAGGCCTCGTCCTCGCGATGCCCTGGAGTGCTGAGACCGTCGGCCAACGGGAGTTCGAGGCGGCACTGGCTCCCGCTCAGGCCGAAACAAAACACCGAGCTGCGTGCCACTCGCGCGGACGCTCGGAAAGAGAGGGGGCGGAAAGAAGAAGCACGCTCCGAGCTGCTGCGCCTCTCGCACAGGATCTCGGAGCAAGGCTCGACCTCGCCCTCGCGATGCCCTGGAGGCAGAAAGCCATCTGCTGGCTCGAAGTGTGCGCGCGTGGGCACGCCAGGCGGTGCGTGCAGCGGGCGGCGCAGGCGGCGCGGCGCGCCGTGGTGGCTGGGGTCTCCGCCCTCGCCTCAGCTCCTCCTGGGTGCGGCGGGCTGGGGGCCCCTCCCTTTGCCGCGCGCCTTCTCCGTGTGGGGGGCCCACTCGGGGCGCGGGTACGGCTGCCCGGCGGAAGCGCACTCGCGCTCGCGGCGCCGCTCGTTCTTCTCCCACACCTGCTTCCCGCCGCGCGGGGCACGCGCCTTGTTGGCCCTGCGCTTCTTGGGCGGCCGCTCCCGGGGGAGCGGGGGCCTGTCGTCGCTGGCGCTGCGCGCCCTCTCCCCCGTTCCTCCGCGGCTCCTGCAGCAGGGGGGGGCGGTGCGCCGGGGCGGCCCTCTCCCCGCGCGCCCGGTCGCGCCGGGGGCTCGCCTCGCGGGCTGCCCCCGCGCTCTCCTCCCCTGTGGCGCGCGCTGCTCGCCTTGCGGGCTGGCCGCTCGCGCGCGTCCACCTCCTCCGCCTTCGTCTCCTCCTCGTCCCCGCCGCTGGACTCGTCGTCGCTGGCCGCCGGCAGCAGGTAGCAGTTGTCGCGCATCGACCCGCGGCAGGACGGGCAGCGCCAACGATGCGGCCCCGCGTTGCGGGCGCCGCCAAAGCAGCCCCGCTCGCCGAGGCTGCACTTCCACCCCCCTGGGTTGGGGTCGCCCGCCGAGCTCCACGGGAGCTGCTTGTCGCAGCCGGCGCGCGACGGGGGGGGCGCGGCTGGGGGGGCCCCCCCATCCGAGGGGTACAGGGACCACGCCTCGCTGGCCCCCCCCTCAGCCGCACCTGTGGGTCACCGCGCCCCTCCCAGAACACGTGCCGCTCGTCGATCTCGTGCTGGGCCCTCGCCGCGGCTGCCCTGGCGGAGGCTCCAACGAACTCCACCAGGGCCGCCCCCTCCTGCTTCCGCCGCGCATCGAGCAGCCACCCGATGTACCCGAGGGGCCCGTACCGACCGAGGACGAACTTCTCGTCTTCCGTGGTGGCATCGGCGGGGGCGCGCGAGAGGCACCTTGGGCTTCTCACTCCGCCCGCGCCGCGTGCCCTCTCCTCCTGAGACGGCCCGGCTGGCCCCGGCCGACCTGCTGCGGGCGCCCGCAGCGCTGGGCGCGGGACGCTGGCGGTCCGCCGAGGAGGAGCGCCGGCGGCTGCGCCGCTCCCGCGGCGGCGACGGGCTGGGGACCTGCCAGCGCTTCTCGCTCCCCCCGACGCGCCGCGGTGGGCTAGTCGGGTGGCGGGGGGCGCCCTTCGGCTTGGGCTCCATCCGGGGCCGGGACGGAGCCTTGGAGAAGGCGGCCCTCTGGAGGTCCCGCGCTTGCTCCACTGCCTCCGCCAGGCTGGGCGGTAGGGCCCTCGGGGCCCCCGCCCCCGCTGGGGCGCCTGGGCTGCGGTCGGCCTTCACGTCGATGCCCTCGGCGGCCTTGGGGTCGAACTCCTCCACCAACTTCAACCAGTTTCGCGCGGTGGATTGGTCAAAGGCGTCGACCGTCTCCAGCTTCCTCCCCTCCGGTAGTACGTCGAAGGTCGCCACTGCCAACGCCAACTTGGCAGCCCTGGCGCGGTGGGCCTTGTTGGAGGCCGACCCCGCACCCCACGGCCCGACCTTGCCCGCCGCGTAGTAGGCCAAGCCGTACTCGGCGTCGCAGCCCACCGCCAGGGCTTCCGCCGCCAGGGCGGGCGCCTCCGCGTGCTCCGAGTCGCCCACCACGGCGCGCTCCTCGACACTCACGTCCCCCAGCACGGTGGCCAGGAGCACGTGCGCCTGCGAGAGGAGCTCGCGCCCCGCGTCGGTCCCGGCCACCTCCTGGTAGCACGCGACCGGGCCGCTCGGGGCGATGTCGAGCAGGGCCTGCGCGGCCCCCCCGATCGGGGCGCCCGCCGCGAGGCGCCGCGGTGGGCCTCGCCCGAACGGGCTGGGCCTCCCCCGCTCTGCCGCGGGCTCGCCCTGGGGCGAGCACCTCTCGGGGCTGGAGGGGGGGGGCGGGCGCCTCGGCCGCGTGCGACGAGGTCCCGCGCTCGCGCAGGCCGGCCCGCGCGCGGTGGCCCCCCTCCTGACCTGAAAGGGGCTGCGGGGCGGGGCGCGCGGACTGGGGCGAAGCAGAGGAGTTGAGGGAGGACGAACGCTCGATGTCGACCGCGATGCCCCCACGTCGAAAGGGGTCGCACACCTTCCTCCCGCGCGCGACACTCCGCTCTCTCCCGACATCCTCGGCCATCTCTCCGCCGCTATCGTCCCCGCCTCCTCCCTCGCCCCTCGCCGGCCCCCCCCGCGCGTCGATCCGGGCGTTTCCATGGGGGGCGTCCTGGGTTCCAGGCCAGACGCGCGGGGGGGTATGGCATATCCTCCGCGTCCTCCGCCTCCTCCGTGGGCCCTTTGAGCCCGAAGCCCGTAGGGGGCTGCGTCGCGGCGCTCGACCCCGGGGCGCCGCTGGCAGCGGTCTCGCGCGCGTCGGGCGCTAGCAGGGCGTGCCCCTCAGCCATTCCCCAGGCGAACGACCTCTGGCGACGATGGTCCTCCCACAGGTGCCCGTGGAACGCGTCGGTCGTCCAGCGGCCGAAGCGCTTCGCCGCCTCGAGGTCCCGGCACGCGTGGTAGAGGGCGGTCGCCCCTCCAATGCGGAGGGAGTGCGACCCCAGCAGCCCCGCCTCCACCCCGACGGCGGAAGCGCCGAGCTGCAGGAGGTCCTGGACCATGGCACGCGTGATCGCGTGCCCGTCGGCCAGGCGAAAGAGCGGGAGTCCTGCCTCGCTCCC